CACCTTTAAAAAATTTAAAAAATAAACACTAACCTTATCGACCTCCCACCATGCAGGATAAAGTTTAGCTTGTCCATTGCCCAACAAAAATGATTCATCTCGTTGATTCTTCAAGTGAACTGCGTGAAAAGCCGTCGGCATTATTGTATATAGCGAATTTTTTTATTTTTCCTAAGCTTCCTTATTATTAGTAGACGTGACACCCACGCATCGATATGCTGTTTTACAAAAAAAGACATCTATTAGTGAATTACATTAATTTTTAAACAAATTAATCAAAATCATATATAAGACAAATATAGTCTTACCTCCCCATCCAAATAGCCACTGTCTTCAACCCCTAATAGCACACCCCACCAAGACCGATCAAGCAACAAAAACATTTCATCGTTGAGTTTGCTGATGTCAGTGTAACACCCTTGGCTCCGCTCATGTAGATAAAAATCAACTGCGGTCTTAGCCCAAAGGGTATTATCCACAATTATTTCCGGTAGTTGTCTCCTCTCCACTTCAGATACCGGAAGGGTACTAGCCGGTAACTCATACGAGAGCCAACTCTCATCCATCATGTCCGGAACCGGTGGGGGTTTCTCAATACTTCGATATATTACCCCATGTGAATCGGGCTCTGGAATGGTGGGAGGGACCTCTTCAACGATGACAGTGGCCTCTTGAACGGTGGGGGGGAATCTTGAGGGAGAATAGGGGCCTCTTGAACAATTGGAGGGGACTCTTGAGGGATGACCGGTGAGTCGGGCTTCTTCTTGCGGAGTCTTCGCACCATTGGGGTGAACGGAGACGTGCTATTACGTCCACGCCGTTTGATGCGTGAACTCCGTCGTGCAAGGAAAACCCGACGTAAAGCATCCACCTTATCGGGCAGCTAAAAAAATTAATACATAAATCAGTAAATAAACAGACATGATATTAAACAAAGACAAATATGTTTCAAACTAGCATTGTATTCACCCAAATCATTATTCTATCATAGTTCACAAAATGCTCAGATAACATTCCAGAAGTAAGCACTTATATAAACATTTAAAAGGACAACATATATAAACATTCCAGAAGAAGAATAGTTTACTTTCGCAACACAAAACTTAAAATCGCAACGCGAAATGACTATCGCAACGCGGAAATGGCTATCGCAATGCGAAATGAAAATCGCAATGACAAAATCACACGCGAAATGAAATCGCAACGACAAAATCGCAACGCGAAACACAAATCGCATTGCGATTTTCATTTCGCGTTGCGATTTTTTCGTTGCGATTTCATTTCGCGTGTGATTTTGTCATTGCGATTTTCATTTCGCATTGCGATAGCCATTTCCGCGTTGCGATAGTCATTTTCGTGTTGCGAAAGTAAACTATTCTTCTTCTGCAAATTGAAACTTGAATGGATTGCATTACTTCAACCAAAAGACAAAAACAAAAACAAAAACAAATACTAACAAAAACAGTTTAGCAGTATTGGCAGCAACCGAATGAATTACGAGTATGAAAAATCTTAAACTTACCTCGTTGCGTAGAGTATGAACCTCATTCTGCAACGATGCTACAATCTCACGTAGAGCGGATACCTCACCGCGTAATGTAGACACCTCAACACGCCATGCACCATCGTCTTTGCGTAAAGTACCGACCTCCTCACGTAAGGCATTGACCTCATCACGTAACTCCCCTAACTCATCCCGTTGAGGTGGAGAACAGGGAGATAAACGTCGTGGCATCTTTGCCGGTCGCCTATCTTGCGGTGATGGTGGAGAAGAGGCTTGATGATGTGACAGAATAGGTGATGGCTGTCGTTGTGGAGGTGTATAGCCGGGTCGATCAGATGATGCTCTGGGTGAGGTGATAGCTCTGGGCGAGGTGATGGCTCCCGAAGTGGAGGCTGCTCATCAACTGTTCCATAAAAAAAACGCTTACTAGCTTGCCACCAATCAGTGGCAAGCTCAGCTTCCGTGGGTGTCAGCCTCTGTAGAGGAGTGTTGGCCTCCTAACAATATAAAAGCTCAAACAAAGTTAAACGTGTACTAGTAATAACTTGTTTATAAACATATGGTAGTATTTATGTTAACTTATATTATTTATTGTCGTATACCGTAGTAAATCTTCCCATTGCAAGGTCCGTTTCCTCTTCCAGGAAATAGCCCTGGGAATATCATTTGAAGTTTTTATTGCATATGTCTTCATGGCGGGAAAGGCCTCAAATATCCAAATCTACAAACAATATAATAACAAACATTAGTAATTGTTAAATAATTACTTATAATTTTGGAAACATCATATCAAAATTCTTACCTTAAAGGCCCAAATAAAGCCTGTCAAAGTGTATTTGGAACCATCGCCATGCAAACTTTTTCGATCATCCAAGGCAGACGATAACTTATTCCATGTAGCTTTCCATAAATACGAGCCCCACGGAAACATGTTCCACGCATTTAGGTCTTCTACCAATTTGATTAGATCATTTGGAATAGGTTGTCTGGCCTCTCTGCCTAAAAGCCGGCATGCAAAAGAATTAGAAGGCATACTCGGACAACGTCGACGTCATCCATCCGAGTAAAACCATCTTTATTATTCAAAAATCTTGTCAGGTCTTCTACGTGTAGACTCGGCTTCTCCAGCTCAGGAAAAACCCGGGATAGCCATGATGGGCGGGTAATGTGTCTAGTGTACCGACCTACATCATCGTGTCCGAAGCGTAGACCGGTGATTAAGCAAAACTCCTCCCGCCCAAAACACGTATACGCCGGTGGAAAATCAAACCATATCTCTTCATCACGACGTTGTATAGTCTCTGGTAGATCGCTAGTCATGGTTTGAAGAAACAGGTGTGTCAACATCGCATCTCCACCGGGATGTTGTACTTTCAGCCATGGCCCGAAGCATGTATCCTCAAACATTTTTCTTTGTGCAGGTGAAAGATTCGACGCAATTGTTTTGGCCAGACTGACTTTATTTCTCAAGGTCAATTGAGCCGAATAAAAGTTCTACAAAAACAATAAACATACTAAATTAGATATACCAAAAACTACACTGTGAAGATATACCAAAAACAATAATAAACATAAATAGTAGTAGTTTATTCTTCAAACTTAAATATGCAACACTGTGAATTTCGTATTTGTCTTTGTTTTTTGGTTGAAGTAATGCAATTCATTCAAGTTTCAATTTGCAGAAGAAGAATAGTTTCTGAAAATGAAAATCGCAACACGAAAATGACTATCGCAACGCGAAACTAAAATCGCGTTGCGATTTGCATTTCGCGTTGCGATTCTTGGTTGATTTAATAAGCAATCTAAGTGAAATGGTTAATCTATTATTGAAATTATCAGTAAACTTATCATCAATTTCAATATGAAAAACCTAATAATAATGCAAAAATTTCAAAAAGAAAATAATTAAAAAAACTAACCCTCGTTGGTTGATTTGGTTGATTTTCCATTTCTGATTGTGAGGGTGGCTCTGAGAGATTTAGATAGACGGATTTCGCCGGAGATGGGGACGGATTTCGTCGGAGATGGGTGAGAGAGTGAGAGATGGAGATGGGACTGAGTTGTGATTTTAGGTTTTAGGTTATGAGTTGCGATTACGGGATATACTGTGGACAGTTCAGTGTTCCAATATATTAATATTCATGTTTGGAATTTAAAAATAAAATACTTGGCCAGGATACTAATGGCGCTTTGAAAATCGCATTGCGATTATGTATTATCGCGTTGCGAAAGTCAGAATCGCGTTGCGAAAGTCAGTATCTCGTTGCAATTTTGTATTATCGCATTGCGATAGTAAGTATCGCATTGCGATTTTCCCAATTCGCGTTGCGATTTACTTATTCGCGTTGTGATTTACTTATTCGCATTGCGATTTTCCCAATTCGCGTTGCGATTTACTTATTCGCATTGCGAATTGGGAAAATCGCAACGATACTGTAGACCATCGCAACACGATTTTCAACTATCGCATTGCGAAAATGCAACGCAAATTTGCGATAATGGAGATCGCGTTGCGAATTAGCGATCGCATTGCGATTTTGTTGGTCATTTTGGCAAATCCGGAAAAAGTTGGTTAAAATCGTATATTATATGGGATTTTTGGTCACTGAGGTTATTTTCTCTCTTTTTTATCTGTGTGGGTTAATTAGAAGAGGTAATATTTGTTTAGAATTCTTTTTAATTAATTGACTTTAGTCGTATATACACACACACTATAAATACAGTTATTCAAACCTAAAATATATAAGAAAAATAACACTCGTTTTTATCAATAAGATCACTCAATGAGTTTGACAATTAATTCAATATATTTGCATTATCCGAGCAAAAGACTAGGGAGGCGCAACACCGGTGGGCGAAGGGTGACCGGAAAAGAAAAGACGAGTCGGAGAGCAAGGACGGACATAAGATTTTATGTTAGGTGCGGTGAAATTGAACTTTTTAAATTTTATTAGAATAAAATTGGATTTTCATAGAAAATACATAAAAAATCTAAAATATATAATAATCTTAAAACTTTTGGGACAATTACCTCCACCCGCTCCACTCGGAACATTCAATGTTGAAGAGATAGATGAGGGTGAGGGCATGAGAGTTGGGTAAGAGTTTATGAGTAGGGTTTGAATATAATTTTTAGATTAAAAGTTTGAGTATATTTTTTAATCTAAAATTTGTTTTTGTATTTTAATATTATGTGACACATATATTAATAAAATAATTATAAATATCGTATCATATGGAAATATTAAAAGTAATCAATATAAGAATAATTTAAAATTTGAGTGATTAAATTAAAAATAAATAAATTTGAGTGGTGATTCTGGTGAACTGTAGATTTTATTTTAACCAACAAAGTAGACCATCAGACAAAAAAGGCAATTAAAAGGGTCGGGAAAAGGGCAAAAATGAGCAAGCAAAAGGCTTAAAGAGCAAGATGCACACTTTAAATCTCAGCCGTAGAAACAATCGATTCAACCCTCGGTCACCATTAACAAAAAGTGAAGAAAAAAACAAACCCGGAATCGCCTCTTGTTGGTAGATTCTTTGCCATACAGCGGCGTTGTATTCGGTACACAGGAAGAAAGAAAAATCGAAGAAAACATTGCCTTCATAGCAGCAAAATCGTCAGCATCAGGCGCGAGTTGAAAACTCTTAGCGATTTGTTCGAATACCATTGGTTGAGCTTCCTATAAATATCATAATCGCCAAAAGAGGCTCAGCTTTTCCTTATATATATATATTGCTCGTGTTCCTTTTAAGCTAGTTTTTTCTCTATATTCAGATATCAAAAGGTTCGTTTTCCATTTTTTATGTTTGATTGTTCATCTGGAGTTTTGCTTGTTGAAATCTAGACTGTGGGTTCTGTTTGTTTATCTGATATATGATCTGGGTTTGATTTCTTTGATTGATTTCTCAGTTGAGGATTGAGGTGCAATATGATTAGATCTGTTGCTTTCTGTTTATTTATTTATTTGATTTAATATGATCTTTCGTTTTCAACGTGGAACTTCGGATTCTTGTTTCTCAGCATTTTTCTGTACTGTTTTTAGGATGTAATTTTCTCGTGTGAATTCGGGATTTTGATTACGATTAGGATGGCCGCCGGCTATTGTTTTCGGCCTTTGATTTGAAGTAGTCATAATAGCTCTGTTTGTTCCCTTTGCTTTTAATTCTTTTGACACATATTTTCCTGTTTTATAGAGTGTGATGGCAGCAACATCCGCGACTACCTTCTCGATCGGATCGGCCGTCTCGGTAGGATGCAAGGGGAGCCGATTTCCACAAACAAAACCTTCGGCTGCATGGTTCATTTCCCAGAATTCACTTATGAGTTTCGGTGGCCTCAAGGCAGCAACATCCATGAGTTATGAAACAGAAGCCTCTTTCGTTGGCAAGGAAAGCAGCGCTGCTCTTCGAGGCTCGTTTACGCTGAAAGCTCGGAAGGCAAACCAGGGGTCTCGTCGTGGCCTACAGCCCATGGCATCGTACAAAGTGGCTATACTTGGAGCTGGAGGAGGGATTGGTCAGCCATTGGCACTTCTAATCAAGATGTCCCCGCTAGTTTCAGCCCTGAACCTCTACGATATAGCTAATGTCAAGGGAGTTGCTGCCGATATCAGTCACTGCAATACTCCTTCTCACGTTCGGGATTTCACCGGTGCTTCAGAATTAGGGGATTGCCTGAAAGATGTGAATGTCGCGGTTATCCCTGCTGGTGTTCCCCGAAAGCCTGGTATGACTCGTGATGACCTCTTCAACATCAATGCCAACATTGTGAAAACTTTGGTTGAAGCTGTTGCTGATAACTGTCCCGATGCCTTCATCCATATTATTAGCAATCCCGTCAACTCCACCGTACCGATTGCCGCTGAAGTTCTGAAGCAGAAGGGTGTTTACGATCCCAAGAAGCTGTTCGGGGTCACCACATTGGATGTTGTCAGGGCCAACACCTTCGTTGCTCAAAAGAAAAACCTTAAGCTCATTGATGTGGATGTTCCAGTTGTAGGGGGACATGCTGGTATCACCATTTTACCACTGCTGTCGAAGATGAAACCTTCTGTTAGCTTTACCGATGAAGAAGTGGAGCAACTAACTGTCCGGATTCAAAATGCCGGGACTGAGGTCGTGGAGGCAAAGGCCGGTGCAGGATCTGCCACTCTGTCCATGGCCTATGCAGCCGCAAGATTTGTTGAATCATCACTTCGGGCTTTGGATGGAGATGGTGACGTCTATGAATGCTCTTTCGTGCAGTCTGATCTGACTGATCTTCCATTCTTTGCATCTAGGATTAAGCTCGGAAGGAACGGGGTTGAAGCTTTGATTCCATCCGACCTCGTGGGATTATCCGAGTACGAAGAGAAGGCACTCGAAGCTCTTAAGCCGGAATTAAAGGCCAGCATAGAGAAGGGAATGACATTTGTGCACAAGCAACCGATTACTGCTTAAAAACTCAAGTTTCCGACGCATCGAAACTCGGCTCGAGAGAGATAATAAGGTCTGATAATTTTGTTGTGAATCTATACCTGCATCAGTTGATTTCAGTTTTGCAGATGGAAGTTTTTTTTTCTCAGTTTTCTTTTTTCCAGTCACATCACGGAATCTCAAATTTGAAAAAGGTATTTTTGATGTTAAAGATATATTTTCTGTATCAGAATTTGTAGAACTTGTGACAGTCTCAAATAAATGTTAAATTCAACTCATTTAATCTTTGGCAAGAACCCTAAAGCAGCAAAACAACACAAAACACATCCATAATTCAGATGAAGGAGTCCATAAACCTAGCTAGAACTCCAGATACAAAATTCAACACCTTACTTTCTCGACCTACCACCGCGACCACGTGCACTGCCATGTCGGCCGTCCGATGCCCTGTTTGCATCGGGTTTCTTCATCTCATCTGGCAGTGGAAGTATATGATCAACACACTTCCTAAAGCTGAAATCTTCGACGGTTTCATTGTCCCTCATGGCGAAGAAACATTTACTTCTCCACGCCGGAAGGAATCGGATTTGAAAAGCTTTGATCCCTCCACCGATTTTTTAAATCGGACTATTCGCGACATTTCTTAAGCAATTAAAGCATCACCACGTGTTCATACTGTGTAACATAAAGCGAATTATGAACATAATATTTACACTGCTAAAAAATTCCCAGGAAGCAATGTTCGTTGTACTTAGATTCTAATGAACAAAACCTACTGCTTCGCCATTAAAACAAAGTTCATTACATTTTGAATTACCTTGTTAAGGTTGAATTGAGTAGGCCAATAATGAAGCAAATTGTAGAAGTAATCAAACATCTCCACGGACGACCCGAATTCCTTCGGACCCAGACGGACACGAACCGAATCGGATGGCAATGGCTTCGCATTCTCTAGGCTTTCTTCCTCCACCGTCTGTTTCTTGGATGCCTTGTCGCTTCCTTCGCAGTCTTCTTCTCTCCCGCGCTTCGATTTTGAATCGACGTTGTTGAGGCCCTTAGAATGGACGCCGTCATCGGGATCCGGTGACGGAGGAGGAAGGGTTCCCGAATCCATGTCTGCGGTTGCAGGATTGGTGTCGGTGGGCTCTGCCGATACCTCTTTCTTCGCCATTGCATACGCTGAAACCCTAAGACTTGGCGGCAGTAGTTATTCAGTAACAAACTTTTCTTTATGGATAAACTATATAAATACTCACTAAAGTATGAGTAAGTTTCTGTTTTAAGCTTTGAAGCCTCAAAAATAACAAAATAATCATTAATATTATCATTTTGTGTTATAATCACTAATATTATCGTTTTATAACACATCAGTCACTCAACCATTAACGTTCGATAGTTGGGTCACAACAATCTGACGTGGCAGTTAGGAAAGCTGACTTGACATCCTTGGGACGCTATGGACATACTTTGATCGAGAGAAGAACACAACTTTTTGCGTTATTTAAAATTATCAAATTATTATTTCTTTGAGATCTCGGGTTCAAGCACAAGAAATAATATGGGTGTGAGCGTTCAATATCTAATAGTTGAGAGTTATCTTTAAACATATATTATCATGTATTTATCCGGATAATAAGAAAAGAACGGTTACATTATGGTAATTAAATTTATAAAATGAAGTGATTACAATACAAAAGAATCCAAAAATAACAATAATCAGCTAATTAGTTCACATTTATATGAAGAGGATTAGGTATACTGACAGGCTACCTCAGTTTCTACTTCCCTTTTGTGAAAGTTCTGATGACAACCACAAGCGGCACATGACAAAGCCCCGGTCGTCCCTTCCGCATCGCTTGCCATGAACTCCCGGCAGCCATCAACGGCGTATCCTCCAATGTTTTCACCATGATTCTTCCGACACTCCCTGTATCTCACATTAGTAATCATCAACGACAAAGTACTACAACTTCTTATTTCACTTTTCAGCACCACATGACATTTCTTAATCCCTCATAACAAAAAAAGAAAACCCTAATTCCACTTTCAAATGGTTTCTTTATAGGTCCATGAGAATGCAATCTCTCCTCGTTAAGCTACAAGGAAAATAAACCTAAAAACAATTACCTAGAATTATGGGGATCGATGACTAACCCTAAACCTAACATGTTCGTATTTATAAGGTTCAATGGCGTTGCTCTAACACACGGAAAGAAGGATATCATCGCTGGGATGGGCACAGGATCCGAACCCGACGAGTTTCGACCTAGTCTAATTTATCGAGTCAATTTTTTTTTTAAAAAATCAAGCTTGGGTCAAGTTTGTTTAGAGATTATGTTGGGTTGGATCAAGTTTGGGTTTAAGATGAAAAATATATGATTCGTTATGAAAAAAATGTAATTTTAACTTATATATTTAGAGATAATTGCAATAAGACACCCTATATATTATTTTACAATTAAATCCATATTTTAACTGATTAAGCTGCGTGAGGAGGCTAGGAGATTGTTTAGTACTTCTGCTGATTGGTTACAGATTAAAGGTGGCTGGATTTGAGATAATATTCGGGTAAGGAGGGATAAGGTTAGTTGGCATCGGCTTATATGGTTTCCAGCTCATGTCCCAAAATACTTTTTAGTTTCTTTGATGGCAATACTTGACAGATTGCCTACAAAAGATAGACTTGCTCGGTTTGGTATAGTGACTGACAATGTTTGTGGTTTATGTGGTACTGGGATGGAATCTCGTAACCACCTCTTCTTGGAATGCTCCTATTCGAGGGAAGTATGGGGTGCTGTTATGCACTCTTGTGGGATGCAACAGCATGAGCAGAATTGTTGGGATGACACTCTTCGTTGGATGATCTTGAATTTGAAGGGTAAGTCTCTCTTAGTTCATGTTCTTAAATTAGCTTGGACTGGTTTTGTTTACTTCATATGGGAAGAACGTAATCATAGGTTTTTTAAAGGATTGATTCGTTCGGCTGATACAATTGTAAATGTTATAAAGGAGGCTGTTAGAATTAAGTTGTATAGATGTCGCATGAATAGGCTGGATGATGTAAATAGACAGTTGTGCATAGATTGGGGGTTAATCTAGCTGGTTGTAATGTTTCTTGTAGCAACTTTGTTGCTTTCTTTTGGGTGAATACAATTTTACTTATCCAAAAAAATACTATTTTTATAAATATAATTATTTCAAGTCATGTTCGAATTTTATCTGAAAATGACGAGTTAGATTCAGGTCGAGTGGAGGGTTTATAATTTTCAAATCAGGTTCGAATCAAATTGAGCATACATAATTTTTTAGTCTGGTCAGATTGACCGAAACCCGACCCATGCTCATCCTCGATCATCACTCCTTTAGTCCTCTTCACACCTTCACTTTATGTTTTTCTTAGGGTAAACTACAACGGTAGCTACTGAAATTTTAAGGTTCTTTCATTTTGGTCACTAAATTTTAAAATATACATTACGGTCACTAAATTTTAAAATATACATTACGGTCACTAAATTAAATTTTAAAACATACATTACGGTCACTAAATTTTTAGTTCAATTTGAAGCTTGCAATGCAACGTGTAAGACTATCATTCTAATAAAGAAATAGACAAAAGCTTAATGGAAGTGACCGAAATGACCATCCATCTCAGTTGGTAGAGCACAAGGTTTTTAACTTTGAGGTCGTGGGATCGAGTCTCATGGAGGGTATTTCATAATTTGGCGGTCTCCTACGGAAGCTGCTCTCAACCTAGTGTTGGAAGGCAGCCTATTATCTTACCTCCCCCTTACCCCATTACATATGGGAACAAGGGACATCCATTTTTAATGGGAGTGACCATCAATTATCTTCAGATATGATATTTCAATAGCTTTTGAAGATAATATATAATGTATTTGGAACACTTAATATAATTACAAAATAGTCATTAAAATTTATCAAGACTACAAAGTAATCTTTAACTTCTAAAATTATTGCAAAATTGTCTTTAAACTCATCGAACTTAGAACTATTTTAACATTGCAAGGGACCATTTTACAACCATTAAGAAAATTGAAAGACCATTTGATAATATTTGAAAGATTGTTGATAAAATAATTAGTTTTACTTAGTTCAAGGTTTCCATTGTACTTCACCCTTATTTTAATAGTAAAGTGCATGAATCGAGCGATCTCAGTGATAAAAGAATTGTTGTTATTCCTTGAGGTCTCAAGATCGAGCATCGGGAATGTCAGTGATTGTTTAATGTCAAATGAAATTATTTTTATAAATAAAATTAAAATTATATTAAATGTTATAATTAAAATTATATTTGTTAATGATTTTGGTAATGTACAAAAGTTTGAGAAAATTATGAAGATTTGAGAGTCAAATTATGGACTTCCCCATCATATTATATTATTTTCTATTAACAGGTGGTGGATATAGTTGGCAAAGTAGGTTTGGATTTGGTAATGTCTTTAATTAGATTTAAAATTTAGTTGGATTTGATTGAAATCGATTTAAAAAGTTGAAAAGAAGACTTGAATTTAATAAAATAAAATATGATTAATCAATTTCATTAATTTAAAAAATTTTATTTTTTTATAGAAATTCGTTAATTTTATTAAAAGTATAAAATATTCAGAATTATAATTAAGATTTATTAGTATAACTGTAAATGTAAATTAAATTATAGTTGAGACAATTTCCTATATTGAGAAAGTCGCTAATTTTTTTAAGGTAATTTGATTTTTTATTGATTTCTTTACAATATTTTTCTTTTTAATTCTTTGGTTATTTTATATTCATAATTCACGTGATAATTTTGTTTAAGAAAACCTTCGTTAAAAAATAAAATCATAAATATATTTATATAATTTTTTATGATATTTCATTTATTAGATAATATTGTAATGTAACAAATATATAAAAATATATATTTATATTTTATATGGTTAAAAAGATTATTAAATTAGATCAATCCACCTCATATTGTTAAAGATATTTAAAATTAAATTCAAACGAAAATCCGAAAACTCTGTTCAACTTGATTCGACTCAAATTTCATAAACTTTACTAAAAAACAAACAAATTTTGAATCTTAAAATAAAACTTGTTAACCTTACCGATTTGAATTTTTTTTAATGTGATTTGATTTAATTGAATATTCATCCTTATTTAAAAAAATTATTTGTAGGGTAAATAACACATTTAGTACCTAAACTATACATTTTGATCCGTTTTAGTACTTAAACTTTCACTTTTTTTCAAAATTATACATAACGTTTAGTTTTTGTTTCGTTTTATTACCTAACAGTTAGAAATTTAACAGACAAGTTCACCTGTCGTTGCGTCTACATTTGTCGATCGATGAAGTCTAAACTTTTTAGCCAGCACCTTCTTAACCCCCTGAACACGATTTCGGCCCACATTTCACCGAAAAATACATTAATCTCCCCAAATCAACAATGGACTCTTTGATTTCTTCATCCTTCGATCTCAATGGTCCACCGTTCGATGGGCATAAGACTAGACTATGTTGGTCGACTCATCATTCTGTCATGATCCACTATTCATATTGGTCGTTCATCCAACAAAACTCTTTCACATCAGCCCATCCGTTAAATTTTTAACGGAGGGGGTACTAAAATGAAATAAAAACTAACATTAGGTATAGTTTTAAAAAAAATAAAAAAATTAGGTACTAAAATAAATTAGAACTAATAGTTTAGGTACTAAATGCATAATTTTATTGTTGAGTTTAAGGTAGACCTAAAGGCAACTTGGGCATAATGGTAGTGGAAAAAGGAGAAATTAACCTACTAATCCAGGTGGATAAATTATTCAGTTCAACAAGGCAGATCAAAGTTTATTTTGGGATTTATGATATTTACTATAGTGAATGACGAACTTGTCATGTAGATATGACAAATTTGAATAATAAAAAAGCTCGACGCATGTGGATGACTAGTTTTGAAAAATATAAATTTTTTATTAGAATCCGTCACATTAAGATAACAAATTCCAAAAAAAAAATTATAAGAATCTATCACATCAAAGTTACAAATTCAAAAAAAAAATTATTAGAACTTATCATGCTCAGGTAACGAATTTTAAGTTACTGTAATAAAATCATAAATTACTAATTAATTTTTGGGTTATTCTATAAACCTAAATAATTATTGCACCAGTATTATTGAGCTGATTTTGCCGTGAGAAAAAAAAACCCTACTATATATATATGAGTGGTAGGGTGGGTATATGGTCTTCTAGTTATATGTAATGGAACCGATCGAAAGTTATTTGAGCCTCTACGTACCCGAATCATTTAAGAGATCCATTACTTGATCGAATTTTTTGAAAATATTTATATTATCTTAATTTCAATAACTTGAATTCTAATACTTATTTTGAGTCGAGATGTAAATATTTTACCATTAGATGGATAAATCAATTTATAATTGTTATAAATATTTTTTTTTCCATTAAGCTAAGGTGATTATAAAATAATATCTATGAGTAAGTTGTTTAAAGATAACTCTCAACCATTTGAGATTATACGCTCACATTCTTGGTATTTCTGGTACTCGAACTCGAAACCCTAAAAAATAATAACAATTATTTTATCATCGAAGTCATAATTCGTGCATATACATACATTTCTATTCATATGAGGTGGGGTTATTTATGCATTTTACTTGCAGGTTGTTTTGGGAGACAGCTCCAAGCAATTTGGGAGAGGAAAATAAATTTTAAGGGTGCGTTTGGTTCACGGAATGTAAGATTATCAGTGAGAATAAAAAGATTACCAGGGAATACGATTACTGAGAATGTTGTATTTTATGTTTGGTTGGTTTAGCAGGAATGTAAGATTACCGTGTTTTGTTAAAGGAATAAAATATTATTGGAATGTATATTTGACCAAATTGTCCTTATTATATATTTGTATAATATTACAAGTTGTAAAATATTTATATATTTTCTTTAAAAAATTAAATTCATAATATTTATATTTTTTTTACAAAATTAAAAATATAAAAATGGTTTAATGAAAGGGTAAAATTTTGTTTTAACCCCTGAACTTCATATAAAATTTTAATTATAGACTTTTTTTGTAAATCTAAAATAATTTAAGGATAAATTTGTAATTTAACATTCGTAGAGTTTTTATTATTCAATGACAGAAGAATGATATTTTTGAAAAAAAAATAAAAATTTAAGGGCATTTTAGTCCAAAACGTCGGTAATGTTACAATACCTAAGGGAATGGAGGTAATGACATTCCCGGTAATATATCCCAAAAAATCCACTATTGGTAATAAAACATTACCGGGAATGATATTCCCGACCAAACTAAACGGGGAAATGTGGATTCCATTCCCGGAGGAATCACACATTCCCCATCCAAACGCCCCTAAAAGAAGTCAAACCGTTCACAAGTATTGCATTAAAGTGTGGGTAATTTCCCCCCATATTGGATTTTTCCCCTATTAATTAACTATATGTTTTATTAATTATTGTTGACTTACGAGTGTGTTTATGCTGAATTATTTTTGGTATTGTTGTGTTTCACAGATCTTTCAACATGAATTTGTCAACATTGCTATGATTCATGTTTCAACATCAAATACGCTGGTTTTATTAAAAATAGAAAATATTTAAAATTATAATAAATATTTACGAGCATAGCTTTAATCGTAAATTAAATTATAATTATGACATTTTTTATAATTATTGACAAAAAAAATTAACTGTCTAGATCACAAAAGGATCAAAGAAGTAAAATTTTTAATATAAAAAAAACCCTAACCAAAATGTTCGAAAAAATCATTAATTTATAATCCAACCAACATAATTAATGTTTGATTTCACTCCTCATATTAATCAATTATTAATTTATAATCCAACCAACATAATTAAGTAGCCAGACATGCTTGAAAAATAAGGAAATCAACACCATGTAATAGAGCCGACACGTAGGAAGCCTCTGGACCGTTCTCCTTAACGGATGCGTATGAACAATAAATTCATATGCAAATTGCAACTACAAGTTTAAGCTTTAGCTATCTCCAATTCCAATTTGATCCACATGGTACCACATAAAGAAGAACAACTATAGCCATATAAATCAATGGAGTCCCTAAATCTTTTTTGCATTCAATTTAATTTTTATATTCTGAAATTTTATCGACTTATTCGTTAATTTGATTAATGTTGACCATTAAATCTATATATTTTTATTAGATGGCGTTGTATATCATGTCATAATATCTTTATATAACATATTTTTAATATTTTTTAAAAATATATAAATATTACATGATCACTGGCGGAGTCACATTTTAGTGAGGGTGGGCTCATGCCCACCTGAAATCCAAATTTTTTTCTATTAGTTACTTATTTTATTAATGATGTCCACCCTGAAATTTGAGTTTTTTTTTATTAGTTACTTATTATGGTGTCCACCTGAAATTTTATTTATACCCATCTCATTTAAAAAATTTATGTCGTTAACGTATGTGTGTCCACCTTAAAAAATAATATTTTTGATCTGTCATTGTACATTATATAACTATAATATATCATATAATATAATATATTTAAACATAGAATAAGGTTCAATACCAACAAGAAGAAAGAGAAATTTAGTTACATAGGTAAAGTAAATATCATGATATGATATTTTTTAGTTTATTAGGATCCCATATATATAAAATATATTTAATAAACACTTCTTGGTCCTCCCTAGTTCTTAGATCATGGTGCTAAAGGTATAGTAATTAGACTTATATTTAATGCTTTTATCTTATATAATTTTATGTTTTAGTGAATCAGATGATATCATATTGTTAATTTTAATTCTTTTTATGATATAGTATCTGATTCACTAATTACTTATAAAATTATATGTATTAAACACTCTAAACAAAGAACCCTAATTAAACCTTGATTTTTCGTTCTCAAAACAACCCATCATCCAACAGCCATTTCTCTATCAACATGAGAGGCACTTGATCATCCAAGTTGGGCTTGCTTTCGAAAACGACGCTGTTTTCCGGCGGCGTCAAGCCGCCGGCGTTCTGCTGCTCCGCCGATACAGATTCACGAGAAACATCATCTGAAGATTTGCAGGACCAGTGGTTGAAGCTGAAGAAAGAATCGAAACCCTGATGAGTACTCGGCGTCGTTTCGGCGCTGGAGCTGAACGAGCCCTGATCAGTCATCGTCTCGGCCGAGTTCGTTCGATGATCGGCAGCGCCGGCGGTGAGTGGTGGTGGTTCGGGTGTGGTTTTCATCCAGTTCTCGAGCAACCGAGAAATGTTGCCGGCACTCGACGCATACGACGTCGTCTTTACCTGAGACGGCTGTTTATCGAGCGACAATGCCTCGGAAAGAGCCTGTTTAGCCATCCGGATATCCGTCTGAAGCCGTCTCTCCCACCGTCCCTTGGTGACCGATTGGAACGAAGAAGACACCCCGTCTTGCTTTTGACCGTTTTTAAGCTTCTTCTTCAAGTGAGTGTTCCAATAATTCTTTATGTCATTATCCGTTCTTTGAGGAAGATAAGAAGCTATGGCAGCCCATCTGTTGCCTAGAAGAGCTTGAAGATGGACAATCATCTTCTCTTCCTGCTCAGTGAAGTTACCACGCTTGATTCCCGGCCTGAGATAATTAGTCCATCTAAGCCTGCAACTCTTGCTGCACCTAAGCAAGCCTGAGAAGAAAAATCAAACCGACATTAATGGTGGAAAAGTAAAAACATGACTGGATATTTATTGCACTCTTAAATGAACACAACTAACCCCAAACCAAAAGTGGAAAAAAATAAGCATCCCCATTCACGATCAAACCCTAGACCCAGAATCCCAGATGGTACCTGTATTAGTAGGAACCGATCTCCAATTCCCTGGACCATGTTCTTGGATATAAGAAACGAGTATGATATCTTCTTCCGGGGTCCATGGACCCTTTTTCACACCCATTTTTTCACAGCAAGGAGGTCTACCCATCTTTTAACTTTGTTTTTTTTCCCTATGATGATCAAAGTTTGGTGGTGATGGTGAAGAAGAAGAAGAAGATTTTAGGGTTTTTGTTTTGTTTGAGTGTAAACAAAAAAAGGGTTATAGGATTTGGTATTGAATTTTGCTATGGAGCTATGAGATTGAGCTACATATGACTAGGGTATTGAAACCCCAAAATTGCCTTCTTTATTTTGTGATTACCCTCAAAAGGAAAAGGGTTTGGGTTTGTTCTATATATAGAGAAGGAAAGGGCACCCCACCCCCGGATAGAGGTGATTAAGGTAATATTTCTTTAGAATCTTCCTTAATTATTGATAATTACACATTCTGAAGACGTAACCATTTAAATTCGAGATTTCTAAATTGAACGACATTTTCTTTTACCCTTGAGAGTTGATACTACCTACCAAGTTAAATCGAACTTTAGATGAAAAGTGTAATTGTTTTGTTCATTCACAACATTCTAAAAGAAACCCTAGTTTATTACTAGACTTAATAAATCCTATAATTTTATTCGCCCTCTGAAATTTTATAAATTGAAATTTGTCCTCTCTAACATAAAAATCTTGCGTCCATCTCTATACAGAAAAAACTTTGTTTAAAAAGTATAAATGAAAACACATTTGACTTTTTTTTTAAAAAAATCTTAAATTAAATTAATTTAATTAGACTTTTCATGTTTCATGTGAATTTATTAAGGTTTAAAAATAGGTAAATACAAGAAAAGCAGTAGAAAATTAATTAAACAACTCAAAACATTACAAGATACAAATAAATATTACTCTCAACACTAACATAATAATATAACATTACAATACGCTGACAACTAATATTATCATAACTAAAACACAATATATTTGAGGTGATTGTAAGAATTTATTAAGATAAATGATCCGGTTCGAGGATCTAAAGTAAAGATAAATCAATAAAATAATTAAATAATCAAAATAAAATTAATAAGAATGAAAATAATTTATTCACAATTAAAATATTTTTTAACGGAAACTTAATTAATCTTCTAACAAGATGTTAATTGATAATTAATAACCTAATTTCAAACCAAAGAAACGAAGCAATGAAGAATGCATGCCCTACTCATTATTACATATGAGATAAAGAGAGGTATAAAGGAAGAGTAAGAGTTCAGTTTTCCAAGTTCCAATAGGCAATAACTTATTATAATGACTGCAATTTATTTATTTATTTGCAATCCTATCTATGGATGATAACGGGTTGAGTAAGGTCTATTTTTTTTTATCAGTTTGACCTAACTCATAAAATATGTATTCTTTAACTGAATTTGACTCAATCGAAAATTATATATCATTCACCTAATTCGATTTGACTCGAAAAATATATATTTTCACTGACTTCGACTCGACCCAAAATTTTAGAGTATAAATTTGACCTGGTATAAAACAAGGGTTTAATTAAAATAAGATTTTTTTTATAAAAAAAATTATATTTTTATCCTATGGTCAGAGTTTTTTTACCCTCCACCCAAACCTGATTTGACCTCACTCTCTTAAAAAAATAATCCAATCCGAAGCCAAATTTTTTCAAAAAAAATCCTACCTTATCAAATCGAATTAGATCAAAACCTATCTATTTCGGGTTAGATTGCCTCTCTAGTCAGACCCATTACTGTACCAATAATGAAAATATGTTCGGAAAAAGTTATTTTGTAAGTCTGAACTATAATGTGCGACCTATTTTTAAATGAGATTTAAATATTTTTTTAATTATGCATTCAAGCAACACAATGCATATATATCGAGCATGTTCTTCCATAGTCATGTATGTATACAATGCAGACATATATCATGTATTTTTTTGACAAGTACATGCATGTTCTTTTCATACTCAACTCATCATCATCACCATACACCAAAACATCATCATCACCATACAACAAAACATCATCATTTCCACATACATATTATCATACATTCATGTCATGTTCATAGATGCAGCTTATAAAACGAATCAAAACTAATAATTTATATACTAAATATACATAATTTATCCTACAAGTTATTATTATGATTTCATGGTCACGTTTCTTAATTAAGTTCCTATTATTATATATATAGTTGCTTACTATATATGACCACTCTTATTCTTATTTAATATAGCAAAATGGTGTTAGTTAAATTAAATTTTAGTTAGAGATACGTGGGATGTCGCATTTAATGGGCCCCCAATCATAGGATGTTACTTTGTGGAGTATATTGATTATTAAAAATTTCAAAACAGTCATTTGATTATTCATTATATTACGAATTCGTCCTTTTTATTAAAAATTAATGGTAATCTAAGCCGAATGTTAATTTTTGTCTGAGATATGATAGTTGTTTGAGATTCTAGGATCATGTTTTTATCATATCTAAGACAAGATGTTAACATCCAGCTCAGACTGCTATCAATTTTTTTAATAGAAAATGATTAATTTAAAACATAATAAATAGTCGGATGATCATTTTATAACTGTTAATAGTTGGGGAACTCAATAAAAAAATCCCATTATCAAAGATCATTTTATAACTTTTAATAATTAGATTTCAACAAAATAACCCCTATAAAAATAATCTATTATTCCCATATGAATGGAAAATTGATTAAATAAAATAAGAATATAATTCAAATATACAAAAACAGAAAAAATAATTATAAGATGATTGGTTCTAGAAAGAAAAAAGAAGAAAATTCAGGTTATAAATTTATTATATATAAAATTGGCTGAAAATAATTGATCCATCAAAATATTTTCTCCACACAAACAAAAACAAAATAGTACTCGTTTGTATATAAAAAAAATATTGGGCCCACAAAGAGGACATCTGTCCCATTATTGGGCCTGGTAGGTAACAAGTGGAGCCCACTTGTCAACAGTTAGTTAAAATAATTGGTGCCAATGTCAAGACTTGAGATTGTGTCAATTAATTTAAGGGTATGTTTGTTTCCCGTAATTGGAATTACGGAATTAGTTTTCCCCGAATTTCCGTGTTTGTTTCACGTAATTCGTTTTTCGAAAAATGTTTTTCCGTATTTGTTTCACGTAATTCGTTTTTCGGAAAACGTTTTCCCGTGTTTGTTTCACGTAATTCGTTTTCCGGAATGTAATTCATTTTCCTAGTAACAGAATTTCCTTTGTGTTTTCTGTAAAATGACTTACGGATTCATTTTCCGTAAGTCATTTTCCGAACTTTTCACTTCAAAGCAAAAATACTCAAAATAATTTTATTTTATGAATTTAATATTAATAAAATATTTTAATATCATTTTCATCAAAATATTAATTATTAAAATATTTAAAATATATTTATTAATATTTATAATAATATATAATATTATATTTTTAATATTATATAAAATAATCAATTATATTATAATAATATAAGATATTATATTTTTTATTTTAATAATATATAATAAATTTTTTATATATTTAATAATGAATAATATTATTTATATATTTCAATAATATTTTAGTAAAGATATTAAAATATACTAATTAATATTTTTAAAATATAATATAGTACTATTACTTTAATAAATAATTAATATAATTTATAAAATTTTATTTCACTAAAATATACCGAAAAAATGTTTAAATAACATCTTCCAAACATCATAAAACGTTTTCCAGATGTTTTCCAGAAATGTAATTCATTTTCCAGAAATGTAATTCATTTTACAGAAATGTAATTCATTTTCCAGTAATTCAAATTCCAGTAATTCATGAAATGATTTTGTTTCGTAATATAAAGGTTGAGGGACACTTGTCAAAATGTCAAAAATTAAAGCAATAATCTCACATTACATCCATCTTCATGTTTGGTCCCCTCTTAATATTTATAATTTCAATTTAAACCCTTTAACACTTTAATCTAATGGGAAAGGCACTTCAGATATTTTAAAATGGTGTCTACCGACACCGTTATTGCTTTTAAGAACTGGTTCAATGATATAATGTTTTAAGCATTGACTCGACGACATAATGTATATAGACAGTCGACCCATAAAATACAACTCAAACGATCATGAAATAAGATTTTATCATATCTCTATCAACAGTTTATCGTTCAACTCATATGCATGGCGAACTTGAAACATATGAATAGTCAAGACTTAACAAAACAATACAATATAGCTGGGAGACCATTTTGTAACTCTTAATAATCGAATGACTCAACAAAACAGTGTCCTATAACTAGATGGCCATTTATGTGCTTTACCCCAACATTTTAATATAAGGCTTAAATATATAGTTGGTATTTATACTAAATATTTCTTCTAAAGTTGCTATTTTAAAAAATTACTACATAATTTATAACTCAATCAAATTATTCTTTCTCAATATATTTTTTGTAATTTCTACTTAATTTCTTAAACAAATATTAAATCTAAATACAAAATTAATTTATATCCTACCTTCAAACCTTGTTGTCGTTGCTTAAAATAATAATATTACAAGGTAATAATATTACAAGTATAAGCTAAAACACAAGAAAATATTTAAAATGTTTAATTGAAAAGTATACATATTTTTTTCTGGGTTTTTTTTTATATTTGTAACGAGAGTACAAATTTGAAAATATGATACAAAAATCATAAAAAAATATATTTTTTTTAAATAAAAATATTCAATTCTAATAAACTTTAACCGATGGTATACATTTGTATATTTTTTGAATAGTATGTAATGATTACAATATAATATTTGTTGTATAATGGATTTTGAGAGTAAAGAAACAATAATAGATGTTTGTTGGATAAATAGGCAATATTGCCCAAGTATTTGGTGGGCTGTTGGTCACCTGCTTTGCTTTGATTACTCGGTCATGGATTGGGCACCTCCATTACTAGTTGAGCAACCCAAAAACAAAATTTCCAAAATAGGGCTATTAGACTTTTAATTTGGATCTACGACATTTTCTACAGTATATGGAATTCATCATATCGAGATGACGAGTTTAAATAAAAAATAATTATTTAGGTAAACTCATCATCTCGACATGATAAATTCTTTAAACACCATAATAAATACCGTAGATCTCAAATTAAAAGACCGACAACCTTGTTTTACAAATTTTATTTTTGGACTGTCGTATTTGGAAAAGAACCAAATACTGAGGGGGTGTTTGGATGGGGGAATGTGGGATTCCCATGGGAATGAAATCCACATTCCCCCGTTTGGTTAGCCCGGGAATCCTATTCCCGGTAATGCAAGATTACCAATAGTGGATTTTTTGGGGTATATTATCGGGAATGTCATTACCTCCCTTTCCTTAGGTATTGTTAGATTACCAGCGTTTTAGACTAAAATGCCCTTAAATTTTTATTTTTTTTAAAAATATATTTCTTCTATCATTGAATAATAAATTTCCACGAATGTTAAATTATAAATTTATCTTTAAATTATTTTAGATTTACAAAAAAATCTATAATTAAAATTTTATATGAAGTTCAAGGGTTAAAATAAAATTTTACCCTTTCATTAAACTTTTTTTATTTTTAATTTTGTAAAAAATATATAAATATTGTAAAAAATATATAAATATTATGAATTTAATTTTTTTTAAAGAAAATATATAAATATTTTCCAACTTGTAATATTATACAAATATATAATAAGGACAATTTGGTCAAATATACATTCCAATAATCTTTAATTCCTTTAACCAAACACGATAATCTTACATTCCTGCTAAGCCAACCAAACACAAAATACAACATTCTCAGTAATCATATTCTCTGATAATCTTACATTCCCACTGATAATCTTACATTCCGTGAACCAAACGTACCCTGAAGGTTTTTTCATCATTGTATTTATATTTGCCAATGTATTTGTAAGTTTTGTGTCAAAATAGTTTGTAGTACTCTAGTAACGAATATTGTTTTAGTTTTTTTTTTATGTAAGGCAGTCTAGTTAAATGAAATATTCGATAAATAAATGTCAGGAATTCGAATTTTGATATTTATAAATGAAGTAAATTAGGTTGTAAGCTCACTCTCATCTCTACAATACATGATTCAAATTAGTCGATTAATAAATTGGCAAGGAATGGTTATAAATTAAATCAAAGAATAATATTATTTGAATAAATCTCAACCGTGATTTTAAGGCATCAAAGTTTATTTTCTTCTTACAATAAATTATATATATATAAAAAAAGTAAATATGAAGTTACTATTTTACCACCGCGCCAAGGTGTTAGGGCATCTTCTTAGCACAATATATATATACATATATATAAAGGACCAAACAAATTTGCAGCCTTTTTTTTTTGTATTCACCGTTTCGGATTTTCTCAGGTTCTTCTTCTCGTTCCTCTCCCTCTTTACTTCCCCCCTAATTTTTTTACCTAATTCTTAGCTTCATTTTAATAAATTCGAAACATGTATTTTTCTTTTCTTTTTCTCGTTAGATCTTCGTATGATTCTTTCCTCGTTCTGTGATTGAGTTTCGGAAATTAAATTTAAATTGCTCTCCGCAAATTTTGCTTTGTTCTTACTCATAATTTGCTTTGGATTTCATTTTCGTCGCTGTGTGGAAAATCTAGATTAAATTTACATATTATTCTGATGAGTAGTATATTTGTGGTTGGAATTTCTATTAGAATTATAACTAGGAGTTTGTTATAGAATTTATTGGAAGCGATTATAGTATTAAAATAATTTAACTGGAATTTCTATTATTCTTTGTTAGTGTTTCTAGTTTCGTATTTTTATTCTTCTTTTTATAGATTCGGCAGTTTGTCTGTGATGACGAATAGTATATATCCATAAATTATTCATTTGAACTTGCATTCGTTAATATAGACAGATTTGATATGTTGCAAGTGGAGGCATATGGAGAATCGTTTGATGTTTGCTATAACTTGATTTTTATCTTGGGCAGATGTAGATCTACTAATTATTAATATTCATGTTGTGACCCTTTTGTTTGATTGATATGCATGCAGTCTTTGAAAATTTCAAGCTTTTATAAGCAACTAGAGCTAGATTTAGTACTTTTGAGTTATGGTTTGTAAATTGTTTGACTGAGTTTTTTTTTTTTTTGCTTCTTTTCTAGCAATGTCGGACAGTCACGAGACTGACAAAAATATCGAGATATGGAAGATCAAGAAGCTGATTAAAGCGCTTGAAGCAGCTAGAGGCAACGGCACCAGCATGATATCTCTGATAATGCCTCCACGCGATCAGATTGCAAGGGTTACAAAGATGCTTGGAGATGAATTTGGAACTGCTTCGAACATCAAAAGCAGAGTCAATCGTCAGTCTGTGTTGGGTGCAATAACTTCCGCTCAGCAAAGGCTCAAACTTTATAGTAAGGTTCCTCCCAACGGGCTTGTGCTCTACACAGGAACAATTGTGACTGAAGATGGGAAGGAGAAGAAAGTCACTATTGATTTTGAGCCTTTCAGGCCTATAAATGCCTCTCTTTATCTTTGCGACAACAAATTCCACACTGAGGCACTTAATGAACTTTTGGAATCAGATGATAAGTTTGGTTTTATAGTGATGGATGGTAACGGGACTCTCTTTGGGACATTAAGCGGTAACTCCAGAGAGGTGCTACATAAGTTCAGTGTTGATCTTCCGAAAAAACATGGGAGAGGAGGACAATCAGCTCTTCGTTTTGCTCGGCTTCGAATGGAAAAGCGTCACAACTATGTGAGAAAGACTGCTGAACTTGCCACACAATTTTTTATTAATCCTGCCACCAGTCAGCCTAATGTTTCCGGATTAATACTGGCTGGATCAGCTGATTTCAAGACTGAACTGAGTCAATCAGATATGTTTGATCAGCGGCTTCAGGCTAAGATTCTCAATGTGGTTGACGTCTCTTATGGAGGAGAGAATGGTTTTAACCAGGCAATTGAGCTTTCCTCGGAGATCCTGTCCAATGTGAAATTTATACAGGAGAAGCGCTTAATAGGGAAATACTTTGAGGAGATCAGTCAAGATACTGGGAAGTATGTTTTCGGTGTGGATGACACACTGAAGGCCTTGGAGATGGGAGCTGTTGAGATACTGATTGTGTGGGAAAATCTTGACATAACCAGGTACGTGTTGAAGAACAGCGTTACCGAAATTGTCGTAAAACATTTAAACAAGGAGCAGGAAGCCAACATGACCAACTTCCAGGATCCGGTCAGCTCAGCTGATTTGGAGGTCCAGGACAAGATGCCACTTTTAGAGTGGTTTGCTAATGAATACAAGCGATTTGGTTGTAGTCTTGAGTTTGTCACCAACAAATCACAAGAGGGTTCTCAGTTCTGCCGTGGTTTTGGCGGTATTGGAGGCATTCTCCGATACCAACTTGACATGAGATCATTTGATGAGTTTTCTGACGATGGAGAAGTTTACGACGATTCTGAATAGCAACCAATCAACTCTACCCCATTGACGGTGCAGAATGATGGGGATAGAAACAAAACCTGCACCTGTGCCCGAGCTGTTGGGCGTTCTACTGGTGCTCACAATGCCCCCAAAGTTTCTCATACATCTAATTAAGGTATGAGTTTTTAAACCAAATCTATTTCAACTCCGATAAGATGTGTGTTGAATTTTATTTGACTAATTCTAGTCCCTTCCCCTGCCAGACCCTATGTGACAATGTCGTGCAGACGGAATGATGTAGCAGCAAAAATAAGTTAAAGGCATAACCGGGAATTCGGTTCTGGTAATGGCCTTGCTTATATTAATCTGAAACTTATGATATTCATGTGGTAGCACTTGCCTTGATTATGCCTAGCAGTCTTTGGTAGAAATACAATGCTTGTCTGAGCTTTATTATGCCTGATGTATGTTACCTTTTATCTCTGGATCTTGTTGCCCTATATCCAAAACTTCTTTGAAATCCATCATTTTCATTTTATTAGTTACTTTCTATGAGATAGCTTTGAAAAATTGTGAAGGTTCTCTAGTCTAATCGAATGTTTTTTTTAACATATTTTTTAAAAAATAGATTTGAATTCGAGTATAATAATCGAACAGGAGGATTGAATTTATGTTTAGGTTAGGGTAAATTATAAATTTTATAAATTCAGTTTGATTTTGAGTAATTGACATCAATCATAATATGAACTACTACTACTACTACTCAAATTCTCGATTGATTCTATCATATAGATCAATAACAGATAACGATTATCCCTCGAACAGAACTTGCAACCTTTATCATAGTGTGCTCTTCAAAGAGCAACCATTTTCAATCTCTTTAAAAAAATGTGTTATGTACAATCCTATTATATTTAAAGATTTTTATAATTTCGTACGAATTAAATTACTTCAGTACTTAAATGATTAAATGAATGATTATTATTTTAAAATTTTCAAGTTGATGTTTTGCAGTATAACATAGGCGAGTGAATACGATAGAGTATTCATTGTAAATAGTTGACAGTGTTTAAAACATATATTATTTTATAGTTAAATTAACTTAATAAAATAATTTAGTAAATACTGTTTAAAATATATATTTATTTTATAATTAAATTCTCTTAATTTCAGAGATTTCGACTATAAAACTCAAAATAATATAATTTTTCAACAATATTTTAATAACATATGAATAGTATAATCGATGGTTGAGTCAGATAAAATCATTAACATGACCACTGTTTGAGTTAGATTAAAAAAAGTGGGTAGATTACACATTTAGTACCTAGATATCAGTTTTAATTTGTTTTAGAATCTAAATTTTTATTTTTCTAAATCATACTTTACATTTAATTTTTATTTTATTTTAGTAATCCGCCATTACAAGCTTAACACATTTATTACCTAAACTATTAGTACCTAAACTTTCAATTGTTTTAAAATTTAATGTTAAATTTTAAACAAATACACCAAACAAAACAAAAACTAATATTTTTAACGGCGGAATACGAGAGAGGTGGTTGACTCTGATCTAAATTTTATCAAATTTAATAATATATTTAAAAAAAATAGAAGAATGGATATTTGGAATAATTAAGGATATACTCGAGGAAAATTAATAATTTAGAAAATAAATGAGGGAGGCCAGAAAATGAAAGATATGATGTAACTCAACTGTTGTTTTCCTTGTAGTGGCTTCAGTAAAGTATGATAAAAATCTGATCATGTTCGGTTATTTATATTCGATTTGTATTCATTAAAATGTTTATAATTTATCAATAGAGTTTAATTCAAGTGATAATAATCTTGATATCATTTATGCAACGTCTTAAATTCGAGTCCAATGAGCAAAAACTCCCTCAAAGGCGCGACACAATTCGACCTGAATTAGGGTCTGTTTGTTTGGTTGTAATTGATTTTCCGGAAAATGAATTACTGGAATTTGAATTACTAGAACTGAAAAATGAATTACTGAAATTTGAATTCTGGAAAATGAATTACATTTTTGGAAAACATTTTTCGGAAAATGTTTTCCGTAAAATGAATTATATTTTTCTGAAAAACATCTGGAAAACGTTTTATGATGTTTGGAATATGTTATTTAAAACATTTTTCACTAGTTGAAGAGTTTTTTAAAAATTATTTATTACAAATATTAAATGTAATAAATAATATTATTTATCATAAAATTTAATATTATTATTTTAAAATATTAAAATAATTTATTTATTATTAAATATTTTTTTTATAATTTTATTAATAAAAATAATAATTTTTGTATATTTTAGTGAAATAAAATATTATAAATTATATTAATTATTTATTAAAGTAATAGTGTTATATTATATTTTAAAAATATTAATTAGTATATTTTAAATATCTTTATTAAAATATTATTTAAATATATAAATAATATTATTCATTATTAAATATATAAATTTTTTATTATATATTATTAAAATAAAAATATAATATCTTATATTATTAATAATATAATTGATTATTTTATATAATATTAAAAATATTATATTATATTATTATAAATATTAATAAATAAATAAATAATATTTTGATGAAAATGATATTAAAATATTTTATTAATATTAAATTCATAAAATAAAATTATTTTGAGTATTTATTCTTTGAAATGAAAAGTTCGGAAAATGACTTACGGAAAATGAATCCGTAAGTCATTTTACAGAAAACACAAAGAAAATTTTGTTATTAGGAAAATGAATTACATTCCGGAAAACCAATTACGTTAAACAAACATGGGAAAACATTTTTCAGAAAACGAATTACGTGAAACAAACACGAGAAAACATTTTTCGAAAAACGAATTACGTGAAACAAACACGAGAATTTGAGAAAAATCAATTCCGTAATTCCAATTACTGCAAACAAACCCACCATTAATCAAAGTGAAAAATTGAAATCAGGTGTACAACCAAATTTATTCTTTAATTTTAATTTTATCTCAATTCAACCATATCATTAAACAGGATTGCATGGTAAGAAGAGCAGAGCAGGTAAGGGATATGAATATTGAGTCAAATCAGAACGCTGTCCGAGTTGAAAGAAAATAAAAGGGTAAACTACGTATTTGATATCTAAATTATCAGTTTTGATATATTTTAGTATCTAGGCTTTTAATATTTTTCAAAATCATACCTAAAGTTTAATTTTTGTCTCATTTCAGTATCCCGCCATAAAAAAAATTAATTTTTATTTCATTTTAGTACGACTATTCAAAATTTAATGTTTTGATTTTTTTTTTAAGTTTAGGTACTAAAACATATAAAAAAATGATAGTTTAGGTACTAAATGCATTAAATTTTTAATGATGGATACTAAAATGAAATAAAAACTAAACGTTATGTATAATTTTTAAAAAAAATTAAAAGTTTAATTACTAAAACGTATCAAAATTGATAGTTTAAACACCAAACACATAGTTTCTCAAAATGAAATACTAGTAAAAGAGAAGGTGTGGGCCCCATTTACCTACAGATGGGTGTCGGCTGGTTCTGAAGCAATACCAATAAATAAGGCACCAGATTTGTCACAATTCTGCATATTCTCTCTTAAACCCTAAGTTGGAATTGGAGGGTAACCTGTCCTCTTCACAAACCCAACATACATAAGTGGCCAAGCATGTGATCTCACACCATCCCTTTGCTTGTAGGACACCCCCACCACTCCATAACCTATATTTTTGGTTTTGTCGTGTTTATCGTCTCTATGTTATCATGATCAATTACGATAGAATTTTTAATTAAAAAGTTTCAAAACATTAGTTCACCTTAATCCTAAAAATTCTAAATCTTTAACCTAATTCATCGATGTCATCCTTACCGATTACAGCCACCACCACCGATATAATCCTTGTCATCTTTCTAGTTTTGTGTTGCCATACTAGCCATCTATTGGCCGTTGGGATCGCGATTTGCAACGTAGGGTTCGTCGGGATACAAACGTCAATTGACTGTGACTTCATAGGGTTATCGATCGTCGGGTGGAGGTGAGGTTGGGTGGAACTTCGTCAACAGCAAAGGGAGACGATCATTGTGGGTTTAGGGGTTGAAATGAGGGTTTTTTAAGTTTTAGGATTTTTTAAAGTATTTCAAAAAAAATTTGTTTTTAAAAATATATATTTTAAAAAATAAATATTTTTAAAAAAAAATTACCATAATGTGACACATGTCCTTTAATGAAAGAATTTAATGATAGTTACAGCCCAAACACCTAAGTGATAACGTTTGTAACATTAAACATCTAGATAATTACATTTGAACACCTAAATGATCTCACTTTTTTTATTAACATTTTAAAAAAGTCTCCTTGATGGTAATTTTTTAAACGAAATTATACATGTAAAATATTTAGTTACATATACTTATTATATTATAGGGTAAATTACGTGTTTAATACCTAAACTATTAATTATAGTTTATTTTAATACCTAATTTTTCAATTTTTTTAAAATCATACTAAACTTTTAGTTTTTATTTGATTTTAGTACCTCTCCATTAAAAACCTAACGGCGCTGCATTTTTTATGGATAAATTATATCATTAATCACTCAACTATCTTCTCACTCCTATTTTGGTAATAAAGTTTAAAATGTTTTAATTTAACTACTCGACTTTCAAATCGCTCATATTTTAATCACTCTGGTTTATTTTATTATTAATTTTTTTGACATGACATTTTTATATTATTTTATTAATATATAATTAAAAATAAAAAATAAATTTGAAAGTTAGAGTGATTAAATTAGGAGTAATTTGAAAGTTAAGTAATTAAATTAAAAAAAACTTTAGTGACCAAAATAGGAGTAAGAAGATTGTTGAGTGATGAATGATGTAATTTACTCATAAAAAAAGTCATGTGTAAATGGAAGTACCAAAACAAAACAAATCTTAAAAGTTAGGTATGATTTTAAAAAATTGAAAATTTAGTTACTAAAACGGATCAAAAATAATAGTTTAGGTACTAGACGTGTAATTTTCCCTATATTATAAGTAAATATACATTTTTGATAACAATAAGGATAATTTGTTTTAATTTAAATTAGTCTCAGTATCCTATTTGAATTAGTTGACTAATAGATCGGATATCAGTAATTATACAAAAAAAAAACTCTGGTTAACGTTACAATAGCATATTTAGTCCCTTTTAAATAGGGTTGTTTAAATGGGTAATCCGTTTAACCGAATCAAATTACCCAAATTTCATTGACCAAATTTTTTTTCTTTTAGCAATTAATCGAACCTAATTTTTCCCAAACAAAAATTAACCAAACCGAACTAATTTCGGTTAGTTGGTCGGTTACTCGAATTAAGTGAAATTTATAAATAATATATTTAATATTTTATTTATTCAGTTAATTTAGTTAAAACTGAAGTTTAAACGCCCTTAAAGCTAAATAATATATATAATATATTAAATATTTAATAATTTTGGTTAATTAACCGAACCCAAAATTAATCGTTAACCGACCGTGATTTCAGTTTGATCGGTTAATTTTGTTTTAACCGAATTATGAACGCCCCTACTTTTAAAAGTAATATTTCGATTTAATTCTTTTAAACCTTTAATCAAACGAAAGAAAATGTATTTTCATCCGTTATTAAAAAATATAAGGTGAAGTATACAAATTTTCCTCCGACTATAGGGTGATGTTTTGTTGAGTCCTCTAACTATTAAAAGTTACAAAAAGATCCTTCAACTATAAAATATTGCTTTGTTAAGTCTTTTGACTAGTTACAAAATGATCACTTGACTATTCATTATGTTCCAAACTCGTCCTTTTCTGTTAAAAATTGATGACAATCTAAGCTAAATGTTAACATGTTATCTGTGATATGATAAAATAAGATCTCATAATCTCAAACGACTATCATATCTGTCATTATGTTAATGTCCAACTTAGACGACAATAAATTTTTTGAAGGAAAAGGGTGAGTTTGGAACATAATGAATAGTTGGGTGACCATTTTGTAACTTTTAATGGTTAAGGGACCCAACAAAGCAATATTTTATAGTCGGAGGATCATTTTGTAACTTTTATAATAGTCATGGGACCATTTGTGTAGTTTACCCAAAGATTAATCTTATTTTAAACACTCAATATTTAGATTCCCCACCTTAAATTTTGCAAGGGATAAAATCAACTTTCAATCTTTGAACATGACAAGTTTTCCAATTTTGTCCTATATTTTTTTAGTCCGCATTAGTCCTGGAATTCGACAACTTTTTTCAATATGATCCCTGGATTTTGATTCTATTTAAGGACTAAAATGAGTGGTGAAATCTAAATTCAGGGATCAAGTCGACAAAACATTAAGAGTTCCAAAATTAACATTATTCAATTACAAAGCATGATCTTTGTGGGAGATTTTGATTAGATCCAACCAACAAAGAAGAAGAAGCAAAAGCCTGAATTTTTATTAAAAGCAGCTACCTGTGTCTCCAAAATTATTATTATACTAATTAAAGCAATTAATTAATTATTTTAATTTCGAAGGTACAAATCAAAGCAAGTCAAGCACAACGGCTTTCCAATATAACGACAACGACAATAATAATAAATCAAATATTAATTAATTATAAATAATTAAAAAACATAAGTGATCGATTAAATTTAATTATTAGTATTTCTATTATGAGTAAATTATGAATTTAATCCTTAAATTTTAATTTGATAATTATTTAATAAAAAGTAATAGATACCTTCAACAACAAAAATACCTTTTAACAGTATTTGTCATTGATCCAATAACTTTTGTTTATTTATTGCTTTGTGTGTAAGATAAAGCTGCAATCTTATGCTCTAAAGCATATTCTCAACTGTATCATAACATGTAACATTGATAATTGTATTAAATTATTAACGGGTTGGTTCAAGTGGTGAATAATTTGATATCGTATAAACAAGTCTAGAGTTCGAGTATGTGTGCATGCAGAAAATTTCTACTGGGAGATTCACTCATCAAAACCAGATATACGACCCGAGTCTATGTGGATAGACAAGGCAAAACCCTAGAAACCATAAGGGCAACCGGATGATAATTGTATTAAATTATTTTCTTACGAATCCTAAATCCAATCTCGATCTTATCTAGAGGCGATGAAAATAGAAATTCTAGGGAAAAAAGTGAATGCTTTTAGTGGATCTAAAGCTCATGATCTAAGGAAATGTCGGAGAATAAAAATGAACAGTTTCAACTTGCTAGCCAAATCCCTCATTTATAATTAAATTAAATTATTAAAATTATAGATATATTTACTAGATCCATAGTTGGCATGTAGCAATGGCGAAATTAATGAAATTTACCATAGGTTAATCTACCAGAAGCAATAATGGTGATTTAAAAGCCAAGTTCTAAGCTGTCAACAAGTACAACAGGGGGTAAAAAAAGGGTAGTTCAAATGAATGGAAGTCAGGAATTTCCAAGCTTGCTAGTTTTGCAATAGAACCATATAGGCAGAAATAATTGTTATAATAATTCTAGAAAAAGAGATAATTGCTATAATATTTTTAGTAATATATATATATATATTTGTGTCATCGAGTCTGGATGGAGCTTTTTCTAAATTTGGATAAGATGAAGCTTTCCTAAATTTAAATTGAGTTATTAAAACTTAGAGGAGAGTTATATTCAAGTCGAATCTAGATGGATAGTTAACATGATCTAATCTAATCTAATCTAATCTAATCTACGACCATATATATATTAGATTATTAAAATATTAATAGTAAAAATCATCGAATGAATCTAAATGGATTAACGTGATTAAAATAAAAATATAATTAAATTTGTTTAATTTTTATTATTTATATTACAAGGGTAGGTCCAAGAATTATTCAAATAAAATCCTTTGAAAACCCAAGGAAAAAAGACCCAAAAACCCTAATAAATAAAAGCAAAGTTGGGGAATCCCAAAGCCTCATCCCAGCAAAGGTTGCAGATGAAAGGCAAGAGGAAATGATTACTTGAATGGATATGGGTCCCCATCTCATAATCTTTCACCCCTATTAGTTAACCATTATTTTTATTTTATTTTTATTTTTATTGACTTCAAAATATTGGACCCACCCTTGGCCCACCATTGTCTTTATGGATTCAATTATATATATGAAAAAAAACAGCACCTCATGTGGACTCTGAACCAAAGGGGCTGTCCTTCCATAATAATAAAAAGTATTCTCCTATTCCTATAACTAATAAATCAATATTTGATATACCATCTATTAATCTTTTATATTTTCTAAGTAATTTTATTTTATTTTTTATTTTATTAAATTTTAATTTAATTCGTATAAAAATATTACAATATTTCAAAAATATAGAGTTGAATTAATTATAGTATATATAAAATTTGTATGTTATTATTAGAAGGCAACAAGATAAGAGGTTTTTATACTTTTGAAGAAAACTTAATATAGTCTTTGTATTATTTATTCTCTTAATGTGACCATTCAACTCATAAGACAAGTTCAATGCAACCATTTGACCTACGTTTTTTTGTCTTTTGATCGTTACGATGGTGTTGTGGCAGTTCACGATGCTAACATGTCGTTTGAGTTACCAAGTTAGCCTATCTTCCATGTTGTCAACCACCGTAGACTGTCATATCAACATTGTGAACTGCCACATCAGCAACGTAATGGTTAAACGACGAAAAACGTTGGTCAAATGACTACATTAGGTTTATTTTATGAGTCGGAAAGTCACATTAAAAGAAAAAAATAATACGAACGATACATTGATTATTTTAAAAAAGTACTAAGATATTTGATGTCTTTTGGACTTTGCCTTATTAGTAGGGAGAAAGTTAAATACAAAATTTTACGTGTCAAATATAAATAATAATAAGATGAGGACGAGAGAATAATTCGTTAAAGTATCAATTAAAATTGAAAAATAAAGAATTTAAAATCTTATTTATTTTAAATAAATCGTATTTATTTATTTAATTTTAAAATTGGAAATGACCTAATTTCAAAAATAAAATGATATAAAAAGAAAATAAATTTAAAACAAATAAAAATATGATTTAATTTATCTAACTTCAAACTTAGTAGAAACTTAAAAGATAATCAAACTAATTTTTAAGGAAAATTATAACTCCTCCTACGTACACTAACTCCATCCCTAATTATAAATGTTAAAATAAACAAAAATACATATATTAATATATTAATTATTTTTGTCTTTGTAAATATTTGGTTATATAACTATTTTATTCTCTAAATTATAAAAATAAAAATTGATTTTTTAAAGCTAACCCGTATAATTCCCACTCATGACGTGTTCCTTAAAGCTTGCCCTAGTCTCTTAATATATATCCTTAAACAAACTCAGATATATATAAATAATAATAATTATATAAATAGAATTATAAATTCAAATATTAAAAAATTGACTTGTTAATGAATATTTTAGAAAATGATTTTATTTTATGAAATAAAGAAAAAAAAACCCCAAAAGACACTCATTTAAACATTCAGTATGATAGAGAAAGTTAAAGGTTGGATCTAAAGACTCCTCCATCACTCATTATTCATCACCATTAGAGAAACAACCTATTACTTTCATGCTATCATGGAAGGAGGAGGAAATGATGATCACCACCGCCACCACCATCATAACCACCACCACCGTCGTCCGACTTTCCCATTCCAATTACTCGGGAAGAAAGAAGAAGATAACCAGCCTTGTTCCACATCTTCCACCACCCTTCCTTTCCCTTGCCTCCCCTCCTCCTCCTCCTCAGCCGATCAAACCACCATCACCACTCGTTCCGCATCAAGCTACCAGATCTCGGCGGAGCCTTCCAAAATCCCACCCCCTAAGCGTACTTCAACCAAAGACCGTCACACGAAGGTAGATGGACGTGGTCGTAGGATCCGCATGCCGGCTCTTTGTGCAGCTAGGGTTTTTCAACTCACTCGTGAGCTGGGCCACAAATCCGATGGCGAGACGATCGAGTGGCTGCTCCAACAAGCCGAACCAGCCGTGATCGCCGCCACGGGTACCGGCACCATCCCCGCGAACTTCACCTCCCTCAACATCTCGCTCCGTAGCTCCGGTTCGAGCATGTCGATCCCTTCTCAGCTTCGTTCATCGGGTTTCAACTCCAACTTCTCGATGCAACAACGTCGAAGCTTGTTTCCCGGAATCGGACTCGAATTGACGCCGTCCACGACGTTCCTTAACTTCCAATCGAGTAGTAATTTGAATCCAATGTTCCAAGCTAAGCAAGAGTCTTCCATGGAAATATCCGAAGCCGAAGAAGGTAGTATAACAAGGAAAAGAAGACACGAACAAGATTTATCTTCGCAACATCAAAAGGGGAGTTACTTGTTGCAGTCGAGCACCAGCGCGATTCCGGCGAGCCACGCACATGTTCCGGCTAACTTTTGGATGTTAACTAATCCCAGTAATCAAGTCATGAGTGGTGGTGGTGTTGATCCCATATGGACATTTCCTTCAGTTAACAACAGTGGTTTGTATAGGGGAACTATGTCCAGTGGGTTGCATTCCATGAATTTTCCAACTCCGATGGCCTTGTTGCCGGGACAACAATTGGGTTCCGGCAGTAGTGGCGGCGGTGGCGGCAGTGGTGGAAGTAGTGGCATAAGTGAAGGACATTTAAATATGTTAGCCGGATTGAATCCTTATAGGCAAGTCTCCGGCGGAACCGGCATATCGGAATCTCAAGTGAGCGGCTCACATTCACACCACGGCGGAGATGACTGCGGCGGCGATGAATAACAACATGCTACAGCCTACAGCCTACACACCACCAGTCATCATCATCTTTGCTTCATTCGAATTTCAATCAGTTGTGTTAGTTTGATGTGTAACGCAAGTGAGGACTGAGGTTTGATTGCTTCTTTTTTTTCTTCTTTTTTTTTAAAAAAAAAAAACAAGAATCCAGTTTTTACTATACTGATAAAAAAACAAGAAATTAATTATTATTTTTGGGAGTGATTAATATGAGATTAGGGTTTGAGAAGAAGAGCGAGAGACAGACAATATTCACATTGTTCTTGGCTTGTTTACGTTCTTATATCTTTGGAGTTTGAATCAAGTTCGTTAAAGACAACATCCAGTAAATTTAGACAATCAGATGGATCATTCCACTTTTTCTTCTGTTTTCTTTTTTGGGTTTACCTCTAGTTCTAATATTTGTTCCGACTTATCTAAATCGATTAAGGTTATACACCTATTTTTAGTGGGTAAGTCTCCTAACGAGAAATTTCTACATACACAATGACTCGAACATGAGACTTTATTTAAACGATATCAAATTACTTATTACTTAACCAATCCCGTTAATTTTTTTCTTATATTTTCAGTTTTTCACCTCACGAGTTTCAATAATACTTGACATTTAATTTTGGTATATATTCAAAGATAACTCTCAATCATTTGATATTAAATACTCATACTTTTGACATTCTAATGTTTACATTCGAGATCTCAACAAATAGTAACAATTTATTTATCAATAAAATCGTTTGATTCATGTAAAACAAAGATAGTTTACAATTTTATATATATATATATATATATATATATATATATATATATATATATATATATATATATATATATATATATATTAATGTTTTGTTGGCACCATAGAGATAAGTGGTGGGTGCTATTGAGTGACCCTACTTTTGGACAATGGATCTCCACTCTTCATTTTTTTTTCATTTTATATTTTCTTTTTCTTTTAGGCCATTCACCTTTAATTGCATGGTTGAATTTGATCAATAGTAGTTTCTCTCTCTAAAATAAGAATGCAGATATATTATGTAAATATAATTATTTAATTTTAAAATCCCTCAAAAAATAATATTTTATTTTATTATCGATGTTTATATAATTTCTCATTTCGATCATTAAAAATTAAGATATATAAATATAGGTGTATCGTTTTTTATCATTGTCCCTAGTTTCAAATTCTTTTGACTATTAATCGATTTTTTTTATTAATTTTGGCGATTATAATATAATATTTATTTGAAACACTCTCAACTATTTGACAACGAACGGTTAAACATCTCTAAAACAACAAACCATTTATTTAATCACTAAGATCGTTTGATTCATAATTAATATATTAAAACGATGTTAAAAGTGTAATTAGTAATAAGATTTTCTTAAATGTCAAATAAATAATCTCGAACTAATTTGTTTTGTATATTTGAATTTAAAATTCGATTTTTCTTTAGTTTTGGCGATTTTCTTTGGAAGAAACAAAAATATCTCGTTACGAAATATCTTCAAATGGCCGACACCTTTCTCATGCAAAATATCTCGTATTAATCTCAGCATGATTTATATATATATTTAAAGATTTTTCGATGCATAAATATAAATATAAATTAAAATAAGTTGTTTTTTTTAATGTATGATTGAAGGCAGACATCTTCTACGAGTGGTTTGTTTTTATTGGTTTTGTCGTTATGCATTAATGCAAAAGCTCAACAAACTCTAATCCAGAATTAATGAAAGCTACTGCCATAGTTAACCCACTGCTTTATCAGAAGATTAATCAAATCATTACACCACGGGTTGTTAGTAGGGAAGGGAAAAAAGTAAAAGATAAAGAAATATATATATATATATATATATATATATATAGTGATACATTATGATAAATTAAAACATATCAATCGGTCAATTAAGTCCGTGATTTTGTAATTAAATTATATATATGGAAGGACGATGCGAGTGGTGGAGTTATACGTGACAGTGCCGGTGACTGGATTGTAGGATTCAGCAGGAACGTCAGTCGATGCTCAACCTTACAAGCCGAGCTGTTGGCGGTGCTCGAAGGCTTGGAAATCGCCTGGTCTCTTGGTGTTAGCAACCTTCAGTTAGAGCTCGATTGTAAAGAAGCAGTAACAATGATCAAGGACCCGTTCTCTCTTCATGAGCCCCTTTCTTCTAAGGCGAATTTGTGGCTATCTTCACCGAAGATGGAGGGTTTAAGTAAGGCATATCCCACGCGAAGCGGACACCCTGGCTGATAAGATCGTTAAGATGGGTAGAGGAAGGACTCTCGGACTTACTACGCTACCAGCTCTACCACCTGAAATCCAAAGCTCTCTCAGCTCAGATCATGTGTCGCTGAGAAGAAGGAACTCCTACTGGTCTCAGTGGTTTTATTTTACCAAAAAAGGTAGTATTTATTTAAATACTCTTAATTATTTAACAATGAACGTTCGCATCTTTTCATATGCAATGCTCGAACATGAGATCTTATGATAACAATAAATTCCTTAACCACTGAGGTTGTTTGTAGGGGCAGATGCACTCAATCCCCTAATACATCCTTGAGAGAAAACTACATACCTATTTTTGTTAGAAAAAGAGTACTAAAATTTTAGATTCATTTTTAAGTTTCTAAATCCATTATTGATAGTATAATCCATGCATATCATACATTATATTTAAGTTTTGAAATTTAATATTTTATATATATATGGGCTAGGATCTAATTATATAGTGCGAAACTAAAAAATATTATACGTTTTTAAGATCGTTTGATGAGGGGAAATAAAAGTCTGAGATTAACAACAGGAAATGAGAAGATATTCACTGAGAAAAAAACAATGAGTTAATGATAACCTTTGATTTTCCTTAATTCAACGATCCTAAAAAATGTAAAACATTTGATTTTTTACATCGGGTGTAACTGTAAAATTTTTGGGGTAAATAGGATAACGTTTCAAACTTTAGAGAAAAAAAATCTTAAAAATATTTTAGGGAATAACTTGATACAAATGATATACTTTATGAGACGACGGTACATTTAAGCCTATATGTATTGAAGGGTAAAAATAAGATCGGTGCATGCCTGCATGGTAATAAAACAGGGTACGAGAGGAGCATGTAAATTGTTGGATCCAATTAATGCAGGCACATGTTTTAGCATTGATGTCTCGATGGGTACAATGTTTCTGTGTAGGGAAATGCTGTCAAAATTTAAACCCTCTTCTAATACAAACTTGTCTGCCTCGTACATTATTGGTGCACGTGGACTCAACATCCCTGTTTGCTAGCATTTCTAAAAAAGATAAAAGGTAATAAATGACTTCGGTTTAAGTTGTAAGCAGTTTGACGTCGTTTAAGTAATGTCTCAAGTTTGAGCTCTTATGTATATAGGAAATTCTCGTTGAGAAACTCACCCACCAAAATCAAGTGTGCGACTCAAGTCGGTCCAAATTAATCAGAACGAAGTCTCAAAACCATGAGAACAACAAAAAAAAATTATATATATTTTTAACTTAATCCTTATTTTTATATATCATTTTATAATTCTTTTACTTGTGTCCATTTTGATGAAGTGATATTTTGAGGGCTTATATATTTTTTTATCTTTTTTAAAAATAAATTATTTAATTTAATTTTTTTAAAAATGAAAATATAAGTTTGATCTTTTAAAATTTAGGGTAAACTATAGAATTGATCACTCCCGTTATAGTTTTGTATTTTTTCTCTCTAAATTAAAAAATAATAATATTTAATCATTTTCATTTTTATTTAATCAAGATGTTATCACTTTTATTTAATTTCCTCATTTTCCCTCCTATATGTAGTCAAAATTCCAGTGACTAAACACTTAAAAGTCGATAGGGTAAGTTATCACATTTTAACTAAATAAAAAAGAATATGACTACATCATAGTTAAATAAAAATGAAAGTGACTAAATATTATGTTTTTTAATTCCGTGTGGAAAAATATATAAAATTAAAACGAAAGCGACCAATCTCGTAATTTACCCTAAAATTTAATAGATTATCTTGGTTCTATGTACACAAAATACTTGATTTATTTTTTGCATATTTTTTTTATTCATTTTAAGGTTATATTATATTTTATAAGAAAATGTTTTTTATAATTACATTTAGGGTCCTTATCAAAATCTATTAAAGTGGCATGATTAGACCATCTCAACCTGTGTATCCCAACAGCCCTCAAGCAAGTGGGTAAGGGTTTTTTGGGTTTTGCAAATTAGTCAGTCAGTGTTTGCTTAGTGGGTGATAACAGTCAACAAATTATTTTAATTTTGGTCCCATAAGGTTTCCTTAATTCCATTTTTCAGTGCCCTTATTAGGCCCCATGAGATCTCTTAATCCTTTCCTCAAGTACATAATTAAGATGCAATTATTTTTAAAATAATATTTTTTTCAATAACCTTTTACAATTTACTCCATTTTTTATATATGTGAACATAATACATGAATAAATTTTGAGATTACGATTTTTTTAAAAAATAAAATTGTCAGAATATATAAATTTAAATCTTAAAAAAAATACTTGTTACCTTAAATTCTTAAGAATTTGTCTCTAAAATCCCAATATATAGAAAAAGGGTAAACTATACGTTTAATACTTAAATTATCATTTTTTAAAAAAAATCACACCTAATGTTTGCTTTTTGTTTCATTTTAGTACTCTTCTGTAAAAACTTAACGCGTTTAGTACATAAACTATCAATTTTAATATGTTTTAGTACCTAACTTTCAATTTTTTAAAAACTTAACGTTAAGTTTTTAACGGCATACTAAAATGAAATACAAACTAAATATGGTTTAAAAAATAAAAGTTTAAGTACTAAAATAGGTTCAAACTGATAGTTTAATTTAAGTACTAAACACTTAATTTACCCAAACAAAATGAAAGACATCTCACGTGATATAAAGTAGCAATCAAAAGTGGAAGGTGGCAAACAGTGAAAGCTTAGTTATTTGAGTTCGCAATTGCATGAGTGATGTTTGTTTGCTGCTCGTTGCCAATAAACCTAATATTGATACACACGGTTGATTCAGGTGGTAAGTAACTTTATATCGTTTAAGTAAGATCTTAAATTCGAGTCATTGGATATGCATACAATCTTTGTTGGAATACTCGCCCACTAAAATCAGGTGTACGACACGGGTCGGTCCAGATTAGTCAAGTCAAAGCTTTGGAATTGAAAAAAAAACGATATTGAATCGTATAA